CGCTTTCCTACCCGGCTTCGCCTAACCCCGTGAGCCATGCGGCTCTTGACTCGGGTGCAACCGCAACAAAACAAAATCATGAACAAGAAACATCTTAAAGTGACTACACGCAACAGAAAAATCCTGGAAAAACAGGAAAGTCTTCCAGAAAAAAACCCCCGTATTTCAACGCTGTGTGCAAAAATCCCAGTGGGATGCAAGTCAAACAATAACAACCATAAGACAATTTAGATTAAAGTTATCAGGCTAACTCTGTACTACAACAAACATGGCTGAATCAAAACGTTTTCAAAATCGACCAAAATAAAGCTATGAAAACAATGTAACAGTGATCATAGTTCTAGATTTGAAGCTTTCGTGACTGCAAGAATTCATACTCTTAGGTTTTTTGTGACTTTACCGACAAAACCTAAGAGTAGTGATCATAGTCACTGTGGATATGGGAGTACCCACACTTTACCCCACCATGCACGACCTGCTGCTTCTGACCGATCAATTGACAGGCATCATCTACATGATGATTGTTGCTGGGTTCAAGTTCATGTATTAGGTATAGCCCTGTGAGCCATTCGGCTCTTGAATCGGGTGCAACCGCAACAAACAAAAAACAAAAACATGAACAAGAAAACATCCTAAAGTGACTATGTGCAAACAGAAAATCCAAGAAAAGACAGCAAAATATTGCAGAAAACGCACCGTACACCAACACTGTGTGCAAAAATCCCAGTGGGATGCAAGTCAAACAACAACAACCACAAGACAACTTAGATTAAGGCCATCAGTCCAACTCTGTACTACAACAAACAAACATGACCAAACCAAAAACTTTTCGAAAATCACCAAAATAAAGCCATAAAAGCAATGAAACAGTGCAGGTCATAGGAACTGTGACCGAATTTTCACAATAAACGACGTAAACAACATGTCCCACCAAACCCTGCAGCCACAGCTGGCTGCATGAGTCACTCCACAACAGCAGGAGCATCAGTCGGAGGGTGGACCGATGCGGCGGCGGGGAGAGAGGGGGTGGATTTAAGAAACCTTCAGCGTTCTTTCAGCTGCCACGCCGTGGAGATGGCGAACCATTAACAACAACAACAACAACCACGCACCGCATCCCCATTTATTTATTCTAAATTATTATCTCTTGCGAAACACACTTGTACTTCATTAGTACCTCATTTGCCAGAAAAATATGATAATTGGTTTTTTACCCTTCTATCTGGCAACAAAACTGACACCTTTTTTTTACGAGGAGTCATGTTTGCATAGACCACAATACCTGCAGCCATAATGCAAAAGGCGCCTTTTGGCGTCATCTGGTCCAACACCATGTGAGACTAAGCTCTAAGGAAAGCTGTCTCGGGTGTGGACCATTCAATTTCAAGGACACTGCATACATTATCAGAGTTAGGTTTTTTGTTTGCATTATGGCTGCAGGTATTGTGGTCTATGCAAAAATGACTCCTTGTAAAAAAGGTGTCAGTTTTGTTGCCAGATAGAAGGGTAAAAAAACAATTATCACACTCGTACTTATTTGACGTGGTTGACAAACGAACACAAAAACAACATCTACACCCGGTCATTTCTCGAACCTGTGATTACTCGAGGAACAGATTTAGTTTCGAAGCATCAAATGTTGCCCTCACTTCGCCGTGCTACGTCGGTGTTCGTGGGAAGAAATAAATCGATGCGATTGTAAATACCGGTGTAATGGCCGGCGCGCGCGCGTAATGTGCGGTTAAGCCGTAACAAGCAATTGTAAATCATTGATCGGCTCAAATGGCGAGAGAGAGAGACGCGTTTTCAGAGCCGCAGCGATTGGGAGTTGCGGCGGGGGGAGGTGGCGAATTTTGAGGAATGAGCTCCCCTCATCCCCCCCCCCCCCGATCGGTTTCGTCGTTCCACCATACTTCACCGCAACGCGCAGAGCGGGTGATTAGGCAGGCGGGGAGCAAATCGTAGACTCATTACTGTTCTAGATTTGAAGCTTTCGTGACTGCAAGGATTCTATATTCTTAGGTTTTTTCGGTAAAGTCACGTAGGTAAAAACATTAAAATTAATAAAAGTAAAATAAAATAAAAATCACGACGTTTCGGAGGCAACACAAGCTTCCGTCTTCAGGTGGAACCGTCACAGCCACGACAGCTGTATCAAGTAAATGAGAGATTGCAGGAGCTACCACTCCGTTTATATAATGGTTGGAGAAGGGGGGGGGGGTAAGGGCCAAGTACAGCACACTTTTTATTAATATGGTAAGGTGAGCCTCACCTTACCATATTAATAAAAAGTGTGCTGTACTTCTCCAACCATTATATAAACGGAGTGGTAGCTCCTGCAATTTCTCATTTACTTGATACAGCTGTCGTGGCTGTGACGGTTCCACCTGAAGACGGAAGCTTGTGTTGCCTCCGAAACGTCGTGATTTTTATTTTATTTTACTTTTATTAACTTTAATGTTTTACCTACGTGACTTTACCGAAAAAACCTAAGAATATGAATTACTGTGTTTCGGGCCTCCGTAATACGTCATTAGTCTTCGTTGGACAACGTGGGTGGAACAGCGAGTTCCCTTGAAGAAGGCGTCTCTCTGAAGTCAGGAGTAGCCCTGCGAGATCCACTTCCGTGGGACGTTCTCCAGAATTCGTTTGCGTATTTGGCGTCGTTCGACTTGCTGTCGCTCCGCTCGTGGATTTGTAGATTTTTTTTTTCGATTCGTCAACCCGCGAACGGGAATGCCGACGGCTGCGATTTGAATATTGACGGAAAAATAATCTCTCACGAGGGGGGGGGCCTCCACTTCACCCCGTGGCCATATCGTCTGGGGCACGCTCATCACCATCCTCTGCGTGCCCCCGCCACACCGTAGCCTGCGGCTCACCCCTTTCCCAACCGTGGGCTTGCGTTCTGCGAATCTTCGGCGCAGATTGAAGAGCGGCAGTCACCCGGAGGGTTCCTTTTCGCGACCGCCCCTTTGCGCTCCAACAATTTGATCTTCCACGAGGCTCGCGGTCCTTCCGTCCTGAAATCGCATCCACTGCACAAACCACGGCAGGTGTGGATTTAGTAATAGGTTTTTACCCTTTCAACTGGTACAAAAAAACTGACACCTTTATACAAGAGATCATGTTTGCAATAACCACAACACAAGCAGTCAAAATGCAAACAAAAAGAAACAACTCTGATGATGATTTTGCCACTGGTAAAGGGGGTCTCATAGTGAGGTGTGGATTTATCAAATGGAAAATTAAAAACTCTCCCAGTGTGCAACTTGTGGTCATCCAGAACAGACTGTGCGGTGTACGGCAACGCAATTGCCCGAGTCCACAGATAGGAAGGAGACATCACAGCGATACACTCCGATACTCATCCGTCTTCGGCATCAGCCAATACGAAAGAATTTAAGAAGCTCCAACAATGGCACGGATACCAAACGTATTTATTATTTATGTATCCCCCCCAGCGAATCCGTGCTTTCAACCTCCCTGCCTCTCTGCGCAAACTAAAACAGGCCCGCCGTTCCTGTTCACCGTCTCGAGACGCGGTTACATGCGGAAGCTGCGTGAATCCACCGCTCGCGATCTTTTCTCGGCTTAAAAGAAGTCGCCCAGTCAATCGGCGGCCGAACCACGCGTCTCACAAGAGAGGAATTGCACGGATTCTCGGGTAAAAAAACTAAAAATGTTTGTCCAACATTGGCACTCGTATCGCATCTTTGCCGAGTGGCAAACGTCCCTGCGGCCATCACTCACAAATCTCCTAAGGGGTGTGTGGGAGGCGGAGGATTGAGTGCTTGCGGTGTTTAATAATAATCCTGATTATTGCGTAACAGTTATACTGGGAGGAACCACCTGGTTACACCTGCCCGCAGGGGATTATTGTGTCCGTCCGTCGTGCAGGGAGGGGCTGGGTGGGGAGGGTGGGGAGGGGCTGGATGGGGAGGGTGGGGAGGGTGGGGCTGGGTGGGGAGGGTGGGGAGGGGCTGGGTGGAGAGGGGAGGGGCTGGGTGGGGAGGGTGGGAAGGGTCTGGGTGGGGAGGGGCTGGGTGGGGAGGGTGGGGCTGGGTGGGGGGTGGCAGGGGTGGGGCTGGGTGGGGAGGGGCTGGTCACCCCGTGGTGCCCTTATAAAACTCAACGTTTAACCTACTCACGCCGGCTTGTGCCCGCCCTCACAGTCGGGCATATTTGCGGAATACACCACGCCGCCGTTGACCCTGGCCATTGACCGAGCAACCCAACGTTCCTACCAGCTCCCTCCACAGGAATGTGTTGTGAACTCGTAACGCACCGCCACCGCACAGTGTCCGCTCGTCGTTGAGGTGCGAGCAGGAACCACAGGCGAGCGGGAAGGCAGCAAGCCACGTGCTGAGCCAGTGCAAAATCCCCCCCCCCCACCTCTCCCAAGATCTGCAGTCCTCTACATATAAAGGTGTCATCGGTCACTCAATGATTGTTTACATGCGGGAGGAAACCGGAGCACCCGGAGAACACCCAGGCGTGCGAGGGGGCAACACTCTATCCCGTACAGACGGCACGGGCGGAATCCACAGTTTTTTCTGGAGAGCCAGAGGTACGGGCACTTCCTCCGTGACGACGCCCTTGGGAAGGGAGTTTCACAAAGTTTGTGCGGGGGATCCACCAAACCCTGGCCACCGCCACCCCCTCCCCGCGCTGCCCGTATCCCGTCTCATCCAGCAGGTGAACTATCCGGTGGGGAGTGGGGCGTGGGGCGGTGTGGATTGTCGCTCTCGGCACGGCCGTCGTGCGCGTGTTCTCCGTCGCGTGCAGCGGGGCGCTCGACTCTGGTCGCACGTGCGCGTGTCGACCTCCTCGCAAGACAGAGGGAGGAAAGTGGAAACAACAATTGGGCGAAATATGCAGTTGGCACCTACGGGGCTATCGCCCATCACGGATCGTGACGACGACGACGATGATGACGGTAGCGGTGACGACGATGGTTGCGCTTGTGTCGTGCAGCAGGCGGACTCACGCCCTGCGCGGCGCTTCCACCCCGTCGCGCCGTGGCCCCAGGAGGGGGGCGAACGACGCGGCGGCGGCGGCATCGACGCCGAGCTCCGGCTTCCGCTCGGCAAACTCGAGCTGCTGCCCGAACGGGATGCGGACATCGCCGACGATGAGAACGACGACGACGACGACTACAAAGGTGCCGTCGTCTCGACGTCCGCAGCACACGGACATTGACGGGCATTGTCGCCATCATCGCTCATCGGCACCATCGTCGCCATCGTCACCATCATCATCATCGTCATCGCCATCGTCACCATCATGGCGATCAACACCATTGTCGCCATCGACGCTATCATCGCAACCATCGCCATCATCACCATCATCGCCATCGTCACCACCATGGCCATCATCATCACCATCATCACCATCATCACCATCATTATCACCATCATCATCATCACCATCATCACCATCATCATCATCACCATGGCCATCATCATCACCATCATCACCATCATTATCATCACCATCATCATCACCATCATCATCACCATCATCATCATCAACATCATCACCATCATCATCATCACCATGGCCATCATCATCACCATCATCACCATCATTATCATCACCATCATCATCACCATCATCATCACCATCATCATCATCAACATCATCACCGTCATCATCGTCACCATCATCACCATCATCATCACCATCATCACCATCATCACCATCACCACCATCATCACCATCATCATCACCATCATCACCACCATCACCACCATCATCGCCATCATCACCATCATGGTCATCGTCGCCATCATCACCATCATGGCCATCGTCACCACCATCACCATCGTCACCATCATCACCATCGTCACCATCACCATCATCACCATCATCACCCATCGTCACCACCATCACGGCCATCGTCGGGATCGACTTCGTCGTGAACCTGGGCGTTACACCGTTGACGTCGTCCCCGCAGGAGGCAGCTCGGGTGCGCAAGGCTCACACATTTGTTTTCTTTGCGTTTGGCTCACCGAGTTGCCGGCGCAAGGATGGACAGCGAAGCCTCGGTGAATGAAATACGGAATACGAACGGTATATTTGTTTTATATGCATAGAAGATACGTACTGTGTATATGTGGTGATTCGGCCATCAACTGATGATTGTCCCACACGATCGATTTACCACGCAACTTTCATTTTACGTGATGGGTACTTATTCATGGGTCCTCTGATAGGTACTCATTGACGACGTCATAGGACCTCATTGACGACGTCATAGGACCTTATTGATGACGTCATAGGACCTTATTGCCGACGTCAAAGGTCTGATAGGTGCTTAGTCATAGGTATTTATTGATAGGTACAAAGTACACTATGAGATCTCTTTTACCAGTGGCAAAATATAGTAGTAGGTTTTTACCCTTTTAAACTGGTACAAAACTGACTAGGTACAAAGTAGCAGCATCATACTCCCCCCACTGCGAATACGTGGCAGGACCCTCCCCAAAAGAGAAGCTTGAGGCCACTAACAACAACAAGGACGACCTCTGCTCCCTCTCTGTGCTCCCCCTCTCTGTGCTCCCCCTCTCTGTGCTCCCCCTCTCTGTGCTCCCCCTCTCTGTGCTCCCCCTCTCTGTGCTCCCCCTCTCGCCGCTCCCCCTCTCGCCGCTCCCCCTCTCGCCGCTCCCCCTCTCGCCGCTCCCCCTCTCGCCGCTCCCCCTCTCGCCGCTCCCCCTCTCGCCGCTCCCCCTCTCGCGTCGCGAGCAGCGGCCGTGGCCTCCGAGGAACGTCGCGTCACGTTCAAGCCCCAGGCGAGGTCGTCGCCGCTGCCCGAGCTGCGACCGGGTTCGCCGGGGAACCTGGAGCCGCGTGAGCGCGAGGCCCCCGGGGTGCCGGGGGGCCCCGGCGAGGCCTCGCGCGCCGTGGCCCCCCGCGACGATGAGCGCGCCGCCGTGCGCGACTCGGTGCGCGAGTTCGGCTTCAACATGGTGGCCAGCGACGCCATCTCGCTCGACCGCAGCATCGCAGACCTGCGGCACGACGAGTGGGTGGCGGGGGCGGGGGGGCGGGGGGGGGGTTGTGGTGGTTGGGGTGGTGGGGGTGGTGGAGGTGGTGGGGGTGGTTGGATCGGTGGAGGTGGTGGGGGTGGTGGAGGTGGTGGGGGTGGTTGTGGTGGTAGGGGGTGGTGGGGGTGGTTGTGATGGTAGGGGGTGGTTGGGGTGGTGGAGGGCGGTGGAGGTGGTGGGGGTGGTTGGATCGGTGGAGGTGGTGGAGGTGGTGGGGGTGGTTGTGGTGGTAGGGGGTGGTGGGGGTGGTTGTGGTGGTAGGGGGTGGTTGTGGTGGTAGGGGGTGGTTGGGGTGGTTGGGGTGGTGGAGGGCGGTGGAGGTGGTGGGGGTGGTTGGATCGGTGGAGGTGGTGGGGGTGGTGGAGGTGGTGGGGGTGGTTGTGGTGGTAGGGGGTGGTTGGGGTGGTGGAGGACGGTGGAGGGCGGTGGAGGTTGTATTGCATTGCAATGGAACGCAATGTAACACGTAACGCATTGTAACGCATTGTTACCGAGACAGGTGCAAGTACTGGCACTACGACGAGGCGCTGCCGCCGGCGAGCGTGGTGATCGTGTTCCACAACGAGGGCTGGTCCACGCTGCTGCGCACCGTGCACAGCGTGGTGAAGCGCACGCCGGCGCGCTACCTCGCACAGGTGCTGCTCGTCGACGACTTCAGCAGCAAGGGTGCGGCCCCCACCCACATCCCCCCCCCGCCCCCCTCCCACCGCCCCCCTCCTCTTCCTCCCTCTCTCCCACCACCTGCCTCCCCTTCCTCCCCTCCCCCCCTCCCCTCCCCTTCATCCCTCCCACCACCCCCTCCCCTTCCCCCCTCCCACCACCCCCTCCCCTCCCTCCCTCCCACCACCCCCCTCCTACCCCTCCCCTTCCCCCCCTCCCACCGCCCCCCTCCTCTTCCTCCCTCTCTCCCACCACCTGCCTCCCCTTCCTCCCTCCCTCCCTCCCCCCGCCCCCCTCCCCTTCCCTTCCCTTCATCCCTCCCACCACCCCTCCCCGTCCCCCCTCCCAACACCCCCCTCCTACCCCTCCCCTTCCCCCCTCCCACCACCCCCTCCTACCACCCCCCTCCTACCCCTCCCCTTCCCCCCTCCCACCACCCCCCTCCCCTTCCCCCCCTCCCCTTCCCCCCTCCCACCACCCCCTCCCTTGCAATCTCGCCACCGCAGCGCCCCGATAAACTCACGCGTGGTGAGCGTCTCATAATGAGCGCACCTTCATGGTAACGGCATCGTAAGTAAGCACGTACGTCGCGCAGGTCCCATATCGCGGCATCACGTGTGTCGAACTTCTTTTGCACCGTACGTAGCCAGCCGTGCTAATCGCTGGTGGGGGGGGGGGGGGAAATGCCAACAAACTAAACGCAAAAATCAGTTCTAAAGCGAGTGGGTTTTCAATCTCTCCCTCCGATGGCCGATTGGTGGCACTGCCCAGAACCGCTTGCTCCTTTGAATGCCCACGAAGCGTCACGGCCCCCCGCACAGGGCTCGGGATGGCGATCTTATTCATATTCTTAGGTTGTTTCGGTAAAGTCACGTAGGTAAAAAACATTAAAATTAATAATTTTAAAATTAATAATTTTAATGTTTTTACCACGTGACTTTACCGACAAAACCTAAGAATATGAATCCTTGCAGTCACGAAAGCTTCAAATCTAGATCTTATTCATCTTTTGTGCGACGGTGCCGATTGAGACGAGAGAGAGGGTCGATTCTTGAGTGGAATCGCAAACGACGAATTGTCGCAATTCAGTGGGTCGCGATCGACTCGAGACTGAGGATCACTTCAAACGATGGATTCCTACCCCGCGTGGCGTGATGCACGGTGCCATGAGACCAGAGGTGTGGACTCGAGTCATGTGACTTGGACTCGAGTCAGACTCGAGTCATGAATTTGATGACTTCAGACTCGACTTGGACTTGCATAACAATGACTTTGTCCCACCTCTGAGGTGTGGACTCGAGTCATGTGACTTGGACTCGAGTCAGACTCGAGTCATGAATTTGATGACTTCAGACTCGACTTGGACTTGCATAACAATGACTTTGTCCCACCTCTGAGGTGTGGACTCGAGTCATGTGACTTGGACTCGAGTCAGACTCGAGTCATGAATTTGATGACTTCAGACTCGACTTGGACTTGCATAACAATGACTTTGTCCCACCTCTGAGGTGTGGACTCGAGTCATGTGACTTGGACTCGAGTCAGACTCGAGTCATGAATTTGATGACTTCAGACTCGACTTGGACTTGCATAACAATGACTTTGTCCCACCTCTGCATGAGACGAAGGCAAAAGGCGCAGCCGTGCAATTTTTTGCTCGCATCACTGCTGGTGGAAAAGGCCCCCACGAGAAGCTACGATCGACAGCCTCAACGGAAGGTGTTTTGGCCTACTCTTCCACTCCGGCCAGACGACTTGGAAGGTGCCGAGCTTTCGATATAATAATCATCCACGAACCGATGCGCCTGCAGTGAGAAGCCTTTCTTGCATAAATCATCAACCAGCTCGATGGAGACCTTCCAACCCCATCTCTTAAGAATCCTGCGATGCAACAATCCATTCCGGTCCTTCACGTGGAGCGGCTCTCATCGCTCCGTCTCCACGGTGGACATCCTGTCGGGCACGTTCCCTCCTTGGGCCACCACTCCGTTGTCCATCTTGACCCCCCCCACCAGACATTGCTGTGACTTATCCGGCAGGAGGCCGCGTCATTTTCTGAACGCGGAATCACGAGCGCCGCCCTTGAGAATGTCGAGAACAGAATGCACGTGAACTGTTCGGCCGCGCAGGCTTCTGGGAGCGCGTCTTTAGCTGCCACTGGGGCAATGCACAAGCGAACTCTGCGCCGGTTTCGACATTCAGTGTCTCATGAGCAGTCAGGCTTGCTTGCCAGTGACCTGCATCGCTGTTTATAGACAAGGCAAGGACTGTATCTGTGTTAAATAAGGGGCCCATGAGAAAAAAAAGCACTACATTTTTTGTTCATTAGCGTCACTCCGTCATCATTAGGCCTGACAATCTTTCCATTGTCCTAGTCGGACAAGATCCATGAAATATAAAAACCCAACCAGTTCAAGTGAAGCGCAGTTCTCGTCATTAAAATGATTAAAGCGTGAGCGTGCGACGCGCGGAGAATTACGCGCTCAAGTGTCAGGATCGCCGTCACGCGGTTGTCAAGCGGCCCACGGTTTTGTTGACGGCGCTTCGGCTCAGAGAGAGAGGGAGCGAGAGGGTGAGCGAGAGAGAGAGCGAGAGAAGGAGAGCGAGAGAGTGAGCGAGAGTGAGCGAGAGGGAGAGCGAGAGAGTGAGCGAGAGAGTGACCGAGAGAGTGACCGAGAGAGTGAGCGAGAGGTGGGGGTTTACATAAAGCAAAGTTTAAAAATGTAAAAAAAAAATTACGAAATGATGAACGAAGCAAAGTGCCGACTACACCGAGCATCTTCTTGTTTCCACTGATCGTAAAAAAAAAGCGTGACCGAACAGTCGGTCAGCGCTAGCGGGGGGGGGGGGCACGTGGACTGCACCTCCGCACGCCACTCTCGTCTCCTTCCTCTGCCCGTCTCTCTCCCTTTCTCGTCGGCCACCACAACAACAACAACTACAAACTAACAACGCGGCCGCGACAAACGGAATGCATCACAGAGCGAGAGGTCGGAGATGTCAAAATCCGGAGGCCGCCCGCACTGCCCCAACTGCCCCCCCTCTACCCCCCCCCCCGCTGCCCCCCCTGCCCCCTCTACCCTCCCCCCGCTGCCCCCCCTCTACCCTCCCCTGCCCCCCCCCCGCTGCCCCCCCCCCGCTGCCCCAACTGCCCCAACTGCCCCCTCTACCCCCCCCCCCGCTGCCCCCCCTCTCCCCTCCCCTGCCCCCCCGCTGCCCCCCCCCCCACTGCTCCCCGATCGCGAGAGGTGTCAGAGGCGGGTGTAGGTTTCTCTGAACACCAGGACGTCCCCCCCCTCTGAGAAACACAAAGATAAAGATCCCCCGTATAGCATTAACAGACTGTTGGGGCAAGTGCTGTTAGCGAGCACCTATGAAAGCCAGAACGGCACACGAGGGGGTGGGCGGCCAACACCACGCCCAGCCGCCTTTGTCTTCCCAGTGACGATGTTTACACACCGCACCAGGTACTCATTTGAGGCTGAGTCGACCTAGGGGAGGCCCAGGACCGGTTCAGAGAATTGTCACTGGTGCGTGAGCGGGAATCGAACCTGGGTCGCCAGGTTCGTAGCGCGGCGCCCTAACTGCTACAAAGACAAATATCCTCCTATAGCCTTAACAGACTGTAGGGGCAAGTGCTGTTAGCGAGCACCTATGAAGGCCAGAACGGCACACGAGGGGGTGGGTGGCCAGCACCACGCCCGACCGCCTTTGTCTCCCGAGTGGCGATGTTTACTACACACCGTACGAACGCGGCGAGCAGAAACGCACGACACAGGATGTGCAAAACAGCTAGACAACGACAAAATACATCTTAGCACCCCGGGACAATGTAGTATACAAGATCCCCCGCCCCCCCTCCCGTACCTCCGATCCTACCCGCACCACCTGGCCGTACACAAACTCACAGATCCGTCCCTGTCGGCTCAACTTTGGGTGAGCGAGGCTGGAACCACGCCAGGCCACCTTTGTGCCCCCAAAGTGGTGATATTTACACAGGACACGGGGTTCTCTTTTTTTAATGCTTAGTCGACCTAAATGAGGCCCAGGATCTTTTCAGGTGTCCGTCACCGATGTTGGCCCGTGAGCGAGAATTGGAACTCGCGTCGTTGTAGCACAGCGAGTGAACCACTGAGCCACCGCTCCCCACTCACACGTAGAGCCACACACAGAGACACACAATCCCCACGCACACCCAGACATACACACACAATCCCGACTCACAGCCAGAGCCACACACACACACACAATCCTCACTCAAAGTCACACACACACACAATCCCCACTCACCCAGACACATACACACACAATCCCCACTCACACACAGAGCCACACACACAATCCCCACTCACACCCAGACACACACACACAATCCCCACTCACACAGAGCAACACACACACAATCCCCACTCACCCAGACAGACACACAATCCTCACTCACACACAGAGCCACACACACACTCTCTACTTACACACAGAGCCTCACACACACACAATCCCCACTCACCCACACACACACACACAATCCCCACTCAAAGTCACACATATACACACATACACAATCCCCACTCACACACAAAGCCACACACACACAATCCACACTCACCCAGACACACATACACACACACAACATCCCCAACAGAGATTATAAAAGGTCGTATTGTTTCTACTGTTCATAATAAAATGATAGGAGCAAACAGCCCCCACGTGTCTTTACAGACGATGTAATCTTTCGGAGTTTATTTTTTTCGGACGCGGATCCTTTGACAGTTTCAGCCCGAGCGAAGTCGCAGCGGCCAATTTCCTTAATACCTCGCCGCGATCGATAGACGAATTAATTCCATTACTGCCCATCAGCCTAGACGACATCTATTCGTCTAGAGAGCGTGCCATGTTGTTTTGCTGTTTGTTGCAGCAGCAGCAATAATAATAATCTTCTTGGTTCTTTCGGTAAAGTCACGTAGAAGGGAAGTAATAAAATAATAAAAATAAAACATAATAACATAATTCTCACGACGTTTCGGTCACAACGCAAGCAGTCGTCCTGTCTCCCCGACAGACCTGGTCTTCACCTGAGGACGGCTGCTTGCGTTGTGGCCGAAACGTCGTGAGAATTATTTTATTATGTTTTATTAAATCCTTTATATTAAGTTCGCTTGCTTGCTTGCTTGCGTGCTTGCTTGCTTGCTTGCGTGCTTGCTTGCGTGCTTGCTTGCTTACGACCGTGCAAATCTTTCGGTCGTTTTTTAACCCACTTCCCGTGATCCAATCGAGCTGACATTTTCCACACAGACTCGTTGTGACAGACAATTATTGTTCGTTTTTAGGCAAAAAAAATGTATTTTACATTTATTCAAATAGAACTCATTCATGGCTTTGGCTAAACGTCACAGTATAGGAGCCCAGAGCGTAACCCCTCCAAAGGCCGTGGCGGAGTAGCGCAGTTGGTAGCGCCCTCGCTTCCCATGCCAAAGGTCGCGGGATCGATCCCCGCGTCCTCCACAGGCGAATATATTTTAAATCCTTTATATTAAGTTCGCTTGCTTGCTTAGGACCGTGCAAATCTTTCGCTCGTTTTTTAACCCACTTCCCGTGATCCAATCGAGCTGACATTTTCCACACAGACTCGTTGTGTGTGACAATTAATTTTCGTGAAATTTTTTTTCCAAAATTTTACACTGTTTAGGGAAAACAAATTAAATATTTAATTACCAATTGCTTAATACTGGCAGACAATAATCTGACCCATAGATTGCAGCCATCTCAAGCCAGAGGACGAGAGGACTAGCCGCCACGCATATAAAGGATTTAGAGTGAAAAACTTTGTTTTTACGGGTTTACTTGTTTTTATTATTTTATTACATCCCTTCTACGTGACTTTACCGACAGAACCAAGAAGATGAATCCCTGCAGTCAGGAAAGCTTTAAATCGAAATAATAATAATCTTTTAAAAGTGTTACATCTGCAGAATCGCGGAGAAAGACAGCGCCTATAAAGTGCCGGGGGCAGTGTGGCACACGAGGTGGTGATGACAGGGCGAGTGGGGTGGGTGGCCAGCACCACGCCCGGCCGCCTTCGTCTCCCCGGTGGCGACATCTACACATCGTTTGAGGCTGAGTCGACCTAGGGGAGGCCCAGCACCGGTTCAGATAATCGTCACGGGTGTTGGGCCGGGAGCGGCCGGAGATTTCGTAGCGCGGCGCACTCAGCACAGTTGTTTGTTGTTTTGTTGTTGTGTTGTTGTTGTTTTGTTGTTGGTGTTTAGTTGTTGTGTTGTTGTTTTGTTGTTGGTGTTTTGTTGTTGCGTTGTTGTTTTGTTGTTGTTGTCGCGTCACCAAACAACTCCGCATCCAAAATGTCGACAATAAACAGCAGCGGGTTCAAGAGGGAGCCGCCTACCACTCGCCCAGTGCCCGATTATCCTCGTAGCAACAGTAGCTACTACATAAGTAGCTACACATGTAGCAGCTACACATGTTGTAGCTACTACATATGTAGCTAGGGGCCCCGCACTTTCACACATATGTAGATCCGCACTTTCAAGGGCCCCCGCGCTAAATACTTCCAAGCTATCAATTCCCGTTCAGTGATTCTGCACTTGCTCTATTACCATAGTACTATACCGCCTTCAGCTTTTACGAACGACTGGGTGTTTAAGGTTAGCGATTTGTCGTATTATCCGGCTGTATAGCAAATGAAAATATACTATTACTTGACTATGCAAGTAAAAAGAGAAATTGTTTATAAATTGTTATTGTTTGGTATTTAGAGGCCCCCCTTTCATAACAACATAGTGCGGGGCCTGTAGCGGCATCATAGGGGCCGTCCATAAATGACGTCACGCACCTGGGGGGGGGGGGTCAGACATTTGTGACGATGTGTGACAGGGGGGGGGGGGAGAAATGTGACGTCACATCAAAATGGGTAATTTAACACGTGGGCAACTTTAAATAAATATAGACAACACGTTCTACTTAACTAAATAGACTTTTTAATATATGTTTTCTCCTACAACATCAGAGTGCAGCGCCACATTAAATACGCACTACAATGACAATAGTTTAAAGCGATTTGAAGCATGTTTATTTTCTTTTGGGGGGGGGGCAGAGCTTTGCGACGTCATATTTGAGGGGGGATCTGACTTTTTGTGACGCCGTGTGACTCGGGGTGGGGGGAGGGGGGGGTAAAAAATCGTCCAAAATCGCGTGACGTCATTTATGGACGGCCCCACATCTGAACCGGGCACCTGCGTGCCCCGTGTCTGTGCAGAGCACCTGAAGGGGCGCCTGGACGACTACGTGGCGGCGCGCTGGAGCGGCCTCGTCTCCGTGGTGCGCAACGAGCGCCGCGAGGGACTCATCCAGTCCCGCAGCATCGGAGCGCGCAAGGCCACGCGCGGCCAGGTGGGCACGGTGGGCGGTGTGGGGGGGGTGGGCAGGGTGGGTGGGTGGGTGTGGGTGGGTGGGTGGGCCGGGTGGGCAGGGGGAGCGGTGTGGGTGGGGGGTGTGGGCAGGGGGAGCGGTGTGGGTGGGGGAGCGGTGTGGGTGGGCAGTGTGGGTGGGCAGGGTGGGCAGTGTGGGTGGGTGGGGGTGGGTAGGTGTGGGTGGATGTGGGTGGGCAGGGTGGGTGGGTCGGTGTGGGTGGGCAGGGTGGGCGGTGTGGATGGGTGGGTGTGGATGGGTGGGTGTGGGTGGGCAGGGTGGGCGGTGTGTGTGGGGGGTGTGGGTGGGGGAGCGGTGTGGGTGGGTGGGTGTGGGTGGGCAGGGTGGGCGGTGTGGGTGGAGGGATGTTGGTGGGTGGGCAGGGTGGGTGGAGCGGTGTGGGTGGGTGGGTGTGGGGGAGCGGTGTGGGTGTGGATGGGCAGGGTGGGTGGGTGGGTGTGGGTGGGCAGGATGGGCGGTGTGGGTGGAGGGGTGTGGGTGGGTGTGTGGGTGTGTGGGTAGATTCAGCGTGAATGTTGACGATTTTTTTTTAAAAAAGCGTCAAGATTCACGCTGAAACACAGTACCGACAATTCTTATTTCGATGTCCACCAACGTTCACCACGTCGTGTCGAGCGTTCTCCATTTCATCGTCCACCAAAAATCTCCCATCACGAATCCACCGATGACAATCCGCTTTAAAGACCCGCCATCCAATCAACTCGGCGCGCCTCAACGGATGAAAGCGAAGTGGTGGTGGACTTAAATACCTCCTCTGTGTGCGTCACGAAATGTGTCGCCTTCTTGGTTCTTTCGGTAAAGTCACGTAGAAGGGAAGTAATAAAATAATAAAAATAAAACATAATAAAATAATATAATAATATAATGAAATAAAATATTATTATAATATACAGTAATATAATATTTGTATTATTTTATTACTTCCCTTCTACGTGACTTTATCGAAAGAACCAAGAAGATGAATCCCTGCAGTCACGAAAGCTTTAAATCGAAAAAGAAATGTGTAGTATGCACCCACGGGATATTTGCCTACGGATCGTGACGACGACGACGATGATGTGTGTGTGTCTCGATAGTTTTACGGCTAGAAAAAAAAACCGCTCACCAGCTCTTCCACTTTCAGCCTTCATTAATTCCCGCGTTGAATTGTCTATCGCGCCAGAGGCCCCGTTTTAACAAGGCTGCCTTGGCTATTCTCACCTTCAGCCTGACTCGATCACTAACTAGCCACAAGCCGAGCGCGCCTGCCTTGTTAGCCACCGCCAGCGACGAACAAACCCACACACACGTTGCTCGCTGTCTGCTACCGGGGGGTGGGGGGCTGTTGTTGTTTTGGTTGGAAGCGATGATTGTCTTGACGGCAAGGACAACCCTCCTCCACACTCCTGGCATTTTCAACTCGTGCTGTTCATTATATACAGAAGAGTCTTCGCAAAGGGTCAAGTTGTTGTTGGCACGGACGTAGAACTACTGACCACATCGTTATTTTTTGTTTGTGTTTGTAAAGGCAGTCGTAGGTACGGTACAAACGAAACTTTATTTATTTATTTACCAGGTAAGGTTCACCGAGCTACAGGATTAACTCATTTTCAGAAGCGACCTGGCCACAAATGATAGCTCAACGAAGTGGCTTTTAGCATCACGTGGACATTGATAGCAGCCAAATACTCTGAACGCGTGACGTTGATTCTAAGTGTGGAGGGAAAAACCGGAGGACCCGGAGAAGAAAATCCACGCGACCACGGGGAGAATATTCAAACTCCAAATATACTACAGTACCACCACCTAGGGGTTAGGGTTTAGAGTGATTCGGCCACCGTAGCCACTCAGTTAATGTGTACTGTTGCATATTCGAACAAACGACGTCAATTTTATCGAGTGACGGTGTGAAAAGTTACGTTTAATTCATAATACGGTGGCGCGAACACGCCGAACAGATAGATGGAAGCCACCTTTGACAAAGGCCATAGTTTAGCACCCACGCGTTCAGGCGCATCGTCTGGACATCAATAGCAGCAGCAGGCCGATCGATGCCCCCCCCCCACGTCTCCTTCATGAATAGAAAATTAAACACGAGCCGCAAGTAGTGCGATTTGTGGCCGCGCACAACCTACAACTATTGGCAATGTAGTAAAGCCACAGAGACCCGTAGAGATACATTAAAGATAATACATCCAGTGGCATGCACTGCTTCGACGGAGGAACAGCAAAAACGACACGAACTCTCGCTCTCTCTCTCTGCTGAAGGCCCTCTCTCGTCTTGGCGAGCAGCAGATGTCGAAATGTGGTAAGCGTCTATCTATATTCTTAGGTTTTTTCGGTAAAGTCACGTAGGTAAACAATTAAAATTAATGAAAGTAAAAAAAATCACGACGTTTCGGAGGCAACACAAGCTTCCGTCTTCAGGTGGAACCGTCACAGCACGATAGCTGCATCAAGTAAGAGAAATTCCAAGAAAACAGTCCTTGTATATATACTGGTTGAGGGTGGGAGGAGCCATTGTGAGGTTTTATTTTATTTTTATTTTACTTTTATTAATTTTAATTTAAAATTTTTACCTACGTGACTTTACCGAAAAAACCTAAGAATATGAATCCTTGCAGTCACGAAAGCTTCAAATCTAGAAGCGTCTATCTCCTGAACCACATTGCTGCTGCCATCGTACGCGAGGAAATAATAGCCAACGTGTATACAACGTTGGAGTAACTTGAGTGTAGTGGACGCGTTATAGTAGTTTCCAGAACTCGTACACGTAATTACGAAAGTGGTAATATAACAGCAACTGTGGCCCGTTTACGACGATACGATCGATGGCAATTAACACGAATTTAATCAGAACATTTGGCAAAGTTAAATTTCGATTTAAAGCTTTCGTGACTGCAGGGATTCATCTTCTTGGTTCTTTCGGTAAAGTCACGTAGAAGGGAAATTATAAAATAAAATAAAGTTGCACAAAAGCCACTTGAGTGGCTTTCCCCTCCCTTTGCCAAGAAAAAAACAAATCACGTTTCATAACATCGTCCCAAATGGTACCTCGCCTGTAGAAAAATTTAACGGCGCTCTCAAGAGATGTAATTGGTAACGATAAATCGACTTTCCAGCAGCCTTTCAACGCTCTGAACAAACACTTGGGGAGAATATCTTTATTTTGTTTAAATAGACCTGTTCAGCCTTTGTGCCTTTCGTGGGCCGCCGCTGGTCCCTCCATCACAGCGAGGATATACCTCCCCCTGGCGGATAAAGTGAGTACTACAAGCCCGAGATGATTGCTCTTGCGGATTGGACTGTGGTGGTGGTTCAAGTTCAAGTTTATTTTCAAGTTCATTTATTAGGTATAGCCCTGTGAGCCATTCGGCTCTTGAATCGGGTGCAACCGCAACAAACAAAAACACGAACAAAAAACATCTTAAAGTGAATATGTGACTGAGTGCAAACAGAAAATCCAAGAAAAGACAGCAAAATATTGCAGAAAAAAATCTCCGTACACCAACGCTGTGTGCAAAAATCCCAGTGGGATGCAAGTCAAACAACCAACAACAACCACAAGACAACTTAGATTAAAGCCATCAGTCTAACTCTGTACTACAACAAACAAACATGGCTAAACCAATACACTTTTCGAAATCACCAAAATAAAGCCATGAAAGCAATGAAACAGTGATCATAGGAACTGTGACGGAATTTTCACAATAAACGACATAAACAACATGTACCACCAAACCCTGCAGCCACAGCTGGCTGCATGAGTCACTCCACAACAGCAGGAGCATCAATCGGAGTATTATAATTTTTCAATGCACCTTTAAGATCAGCACACTAAATTGTTACTTCATTGTAGGTGGATGGATTGTTAGGGGCCGTCCATAAATGACGTCACGCAACTAGGGGGGGGGGGGGTCGTTGAGAAATGTGACGTCACATCAAAATGCGCAACTTTAAATAAATATAGACAACACGTTCTACTTAATTAAATCGACTTTTTAATAAATGTTTTCTCCTACAACATCAGAGTGCAGCGCCACATTAAATATGCACTACAATGACAATAGTTTAAAGCATGTTTTATTTTTTTGGGAGGGTGGGGCAGAGCTTTGTGACGTCATATGTGAGGGTGAGTCTGACTTTTTGTAACGCTGTGTGACGAAGGGGGGGGTGGTCAAAAAGCGTCCAAAATCGCGTGACGTCATTTATGGACGGCCCCTTACATCAGTGTAGGTTCGTGAGAGTGGTGCCTGCAACCCGAGGGAGGCCTTTATCCAGCAGTAGATTCATCATAGATGGTGATGATGATGATGGTGGTTAACTCTGTGTAGAAGGGCGGTGATCCGATGCGATGTCACGATTGTGTATCGTGATTCGAGTCAAGAACCGACTGTTTATATTGCGCTGGGTGTAGCGGCCTCTCGCGTCTACGAGGCTCACACGAAACCCATGGCAGCCTACTCCTCGTATCCCCATGGAGGGATGTGCATGACGAGATTGTGTTTTTCTTCAACACATCGGCCGTGATATATCCACTGCTGGATGAAGGCAGCCCGTCCCCGCCCGTAGAGATGTCGGCTTAGGGTCTTGCGTTCGCAAAAATCCATGTTGGCTCCTGCGCCAGATCTGCTTTCATTGGTCCATCTCCTGCGATGTCCACTAGGATGTGTTCCCACCTTTGGCTGTGTGCTGGGGCCACCCATCCACACAACCCTTCATGGGTGCCGTTTTTTTAATTTGGAGCTTTCGTGACTGCAGGAATGACTCTTTGGTTCTTTCGGTAAAGTGGCGTATAAAGAGAAAATAATAAATTAAATACTAGCATACGACGTTTCGATTGCAACACAAGCAATCATCATCAGGTATAAATGAAATAGAAACACAAATCTAGTATACTTAGACATGTAATGTAATACAACAGAGAGTCGGATAACATAACAGTCAACACCCTACCTGGTTGATTACGTTCTTCCTGAGAATGCTAAATTTGAGAGAGAGAGATCAAACACGGAACCAGAGACATATAGACAGACATATAAGTGGAGACAGATATCACAGAGATACATAGAGAGAGAGAGAGACAAACATAGGCACACAGAGAAACCACGTCTCTGTGTCGAGGCCTTAAATAGAGAGAGGGGGCGGAGAGAGAGGGAGGGGTTAGAGAAATTAGCATGTCAATGAGTGGCACGCTGGGTGCTCGCGAACAGCACTTGCCCCAATAAGGATGATAAGGCTACCTGGGTGGGTGGTGGTATCTTTGTCTTTGTCCTGCGTGCAGGTGTTGGTTTACCTGGACGCTCACTGCGAGGTCGGCATCAACTGGTACCCGCCTCTCGCCGCCCCCATCGCTCACGACAGGTAACCAGAGTGATCGTTACTGCAACTTACACGGGGTATTCACGGCGGGAGGATGCTGCTTTTGAATTTAAGGACAACTTCAGATCTGCAACAGATTTATGTTTCACTTCGCGGGAAATCGTTTAGTCGTCGATAAATGTCTTAGTGCCGGCAAAAGTGACTTCATGCGATGCCAAGTCACAGAATAAAGTGACTTTACGTAATTTACAGCATTTTCCAATTTTTATTTTATTTGTTTAAAAAAATCTTATATGCTCTACCCCTTCACCAACGCACGCTGACCGGTGTGGTGGAGTATGGTCAAATAACCCCCACGATCTGCACAGAGTTGACAAGTCCTCACCCAGTAGGAAAAACTAAATATCCCAGCCGTGGATCGAATTTAAATTCCATTTCGTAACTACTGGACATCTGTGAAAAATAACTTTTTATAGGTCATCGGATTCCTCCAGTATAAATAAAGATTCTAACTTTCAAAAAAACTTTTAAAAATGCATCGCTGTTTTTGTCAAACATCAAGGAAGGTTCCGATCAGTCCCGTACTATCTACGCAACATCATGCCGCCCTGTCCTCTGCACCCCCCCCTCCCACCCCCCTTAGGACGACCAGCACAGTCCCCCTCATCGACTACATCAATGGGATGGACTACACAATGGAGCCGCAGCAGGGGGGTGATGACGACGGCTTCGCACGTGGCGCCTGGGACTGGAGCCTCCTTTGGAAGCGGATTCCGCTGAGCGAGCGCGAGAGGGCACGGCGAAAGCACAAGACAGAGCCATACCGGTGCACAGACACAAAGACCCCCCTCCTCTCCCCGTCCCCCGGATAACGATTCCGACACTGGTCAACAGAGGTCACAATCGGGTACCCGATACCCGGCTACCCGTACCCGGCCGGGTACGGGTACAGGTACCCGTTTGCGACCCTGGTGCGGCCGGGTACGGGTAGGCCGTGAGTCACTGGTGTGTAACCGTTTGTCACTCATTTCGGGTAGGGTACGGGTATGGGTAGGGAACGGGTACCCATTTGCGACCCTGGTGCGGCCGGGTACGGGTACGGGTAGGCCGTGAGTCACTGGTGATTAGCCGTTTGTCACTCATTTCGGGTAGGGTACGGGTACGGGTAGGGAATGGGTTGCACGTACCCGGCCGAATACGGGTACCCATTTGCGACCCTGGTGTGGCCGGGTACGGGTAAGGAATCAAACCCCGTTTGCGACCTCTGCTGGTCAACAAAAAAAAACATTTTTTCTGTTCTAATTTCAGGGTGCTGATTCCAAATCTGATCTCAGATTTGCTCTATCACATCTCATTTTTATGCTATCGGCATACCCCATTTTTATTGATTTTACCCGAAATTAACTCTGTCACTTATGATTGCAAGTTGTTGCGAGTCGGTGACTGCTTTAGTGTTAAAATATGGTGCTGTATTTTTAGGATAGTGTGTCTATAATATCATTTTATGTAGATATCCACATTTATTTAATATTTTTCGTCTGCAGTTTTTATTGAAAATGCAATATTTGATATCTCAAAAACCTGATGTGATAGACAAAAACTGATGCCAGATTTGGAATCAGCACCCCCAAAATTACCTTAAAACCGTTGGAATTCCTTATGCCAGAAAAAGTGTGTTGACCAGTGTAATGATGAATCGTGGGGGTTATTTGACCGTACTTCACCACACCGATGAAGGCCGGAACGTGCACGCAATGGGGCGATGTGGCCAGCACCACTATCGGCCGCCTTTGTCTCCCCAGTGGCGATGTTTACACATCGCAACAGGCGATAAACTTGTTCGTTTGTACGTTGAACTTCTTTCGCACAGTACGTAGCCGACCGTGCTAATCGGAGGTGCGGGGGAAGGACACCAATCTAATCACACAAAGCGGTTCTAATTTGAGGCTGCTGAGTCGATCCAGGACCGGTTCAGACAATCCGTCACCCGGTGTTGGTGGCCGTGAGCGGGAATCGAACTCGGTTCGCCGGGTTCGTAGAGCGGCACGCTGACCCGTTGCGACCCCGCTCAATTGGGATCGCGCGCACAGCAGCAGCAGCAGCATCGCTCCCTGCTGTGACAACTTGGCAGGACCCTGCTGAAAAGGAGCCTTGAGACTCGGTGATGCGCAGTCGCGATGTCGATTCAATTCAATCCCTCGGTTCCCCCCCCCTCCACCCCAGGTCTCCGGCGATGGCCGGGGGTCTCTTCGCCATCGATCGGGACTTCTTCTTTGAGCTGGGACTCTACGACCCTGGGCTGCAGATCTGGGGCGGCGAAAACTTCGAGATTTCCTACAAGGTGAGGCGGCAGAAGAATGACGCCGGTCGACTCGGGGCGGAGACGCCGCTTGAGATTCGGCGGGTCGTCGCGAAGTCTTGTTCCACCACCAGCACCCCGCACAGATCCCTCCACCAATGTCTCATCGCCGTCCCATTGTACGATTTTGAAACCGGGCTCATGTCGTGCAGTTGTAAACGGTTGAGTGAATAAGCTCTAATAGAGAGTCGTGGACAAAAAAAGCGAAATGAGCTGAATTATTAGATCCAAGATGAATAAATCAATGGTGCACGTAATGGTGGAAAGAAAATAAGAGGAGCAAACCCACACATACTAGGAGTTATTGGAGCCTGGCAGATGTGGCCTAGGTTCAGCCACAAGACCCAGACGGCAGGGTGAGTGGCGCATAGTGCAGGACTTGAGAAAACAAGCGACCAGTCTTAAGCCATAATAAAGGTTTTTTTGGGTTAAATTGTGGGAAATATAAATGTGTCGTTAAACCCGCCACCACCCGACACAGCCGATTGGTAAAGTTTGTCACGTAATCAAAACGTGCCAATTAGTTTCGCGTGCACTGGAAGGCACCTTCGACGTTGCACAAGCGACTTAGGGACACAGGTAGCGGCTAGTCTATTCACGCGCACAATTTGTCCTGTTGGTGATCGCTCTAGGACGCGTTTATCCGATTTGTGCAGCGCAATGTCTGGCACGACGTCCGCAGCTTGGCTGCAACGTGTGCTGGCTGGGGGCTTCTTAAGCGACTCGGTTGAAGGAATCGAGCTGAGTTGTCGTCGGAGCGAAACGTCGGACATCGTGCCGAACGACACGCAGCAACAACCCGAACACACAATCAGAGAGAGAGAGAGAGAGATACACGGCGAATACAAAAACAGCACGCGAGGCGTTTGCGCTGCTCACGTGCAAACAACAGCACCCGGTCACGTGACCATCGCAATGCACGCGCGCAACACGCTCGGGCATTGTCTAGACCACCACGCTCCGCGGAGAGACGAAAGCGTGGCTGGCCGCCCCCCCGATTAGCACGGTTGGCTACGTACGGTGCGAAGGAAGTTCAGCACACGCACGGCGCAATTGCGATATACCCCTTACTCCCCAACTCTTAATCGCTCCGAACAAACGAGATCGACATGGAGTCCCCCCCCCACCACCCTCACCAGGACGAGCATTTAGCCATCGATTAAAATCTGCCCACACTCACGAAGGGGGGCGGGCGGTCGCCAGTGGAATCTCACGCGTGCCACCAAGCAGCCGGAGTCTTGCCGTCGAGAGCCACTGTACACAACAACAACAACAAGAGAGAGATAAATGATGTGGATTAGCCTTTATCGGACCGTGTAATTACCCGTGATTTAAGGGTTTGTCGCACTGGTAATTTTCAATTTATATACAACGCGCGTGGCTTACTGGGTTGTCTTCGTGTGACTAGCGGCTGCGCGCGCCAAATCTGCGCGGAGCGACTTGGCACGAGCGTAGGGAGAGATTCCCGTTGGTCGAGGCACAGAGATGTCGTCCGGGAATGAATGGCCTGACCACGGACGCCAATGCAATGGTCCGTGATAAAATTTTAAATGGAATATCGCATCTCAAAAAGCCACTGGAAAACCAACCCACGCACACTCTCCGTAGCATGCGGCAAGTACTGTGTGCAAAAGCACACGTCCGAGTTTAAGTCTGTGAACTGCGCGAAAGCTTCGGGAGCTCGGTGACAGATACGGCTCAGTCCTGTCGGAGAGCGGGGGCGTCATCTGGTCCAACCCATGTGAGACTAGGCTCTAAGGAAAGCTGTCTCGAGTGTGGACCAATCAACTTCAAGGACAGTGCACATTATCAGAGTTGTGTTTTTTGTTTGCATTATGACTGCAGGTATTGTGGTCTATGTAAACATGACTCCTTGTAAAAAAGGTGTCAGTTTTGTTGCCAGCTAAAAGGGTAAAAAACTATTATCAAGGTTGGCTTCCTTGTCCGGTTCGGGTGTCCGCAGTCGCACCGTGGGTTGTCTTTAATTCTCCGCTACTTGGGGTGGTGTGGCACAGCAGCGACCTGTTGCTGTTCCGACCGACCGCAGACAAGCGGGAAGACATCCAGAACCGTTGGCAACATTTGCCCGAGCTCTGGTCCTATATTAGGATGTTCGGTGACTATCCTTCGTGAATGTTTATACATGCCGGAGGAAACAGGAGTACCCGGAGAGAGCCCACTGGAGCAATGGGGGTAATTAACACTCTCCACCCCTTTCGATTTAAAGCTTTCGTGATTGCAGGGATTCATATTCTTGGTTCTTTTGGTAAAGTCACGTAGGTGAAGAAACAGAGCTGTCGGAAAGACAGTTCTGTTTCTTCACCTGAGGACGGCTGCTTGCGTTGTGGCCGAAACGTCGTGAGAATTTAATTTTATTACGTTTTATTTTTATTTTATTATTTCCCTTCTACGTGACTCAAGAAAGTTGTTCGTCGTCGACCGCTCGAAAACCGCGTCATAACGGTGCACGCGTTCCGCGTTGTGCAAAACGCGTTCGCTAATGAACCGCTTTGATGGCGAAAACACGCTGTGTGAACACCACTCGTTCAGCGAGGACACTTAACCGCGTATTTATTTGGCGCACTCGGCTACGGGAGAAGTCTTGCGATGCCTTGAAGACGTGGCGCCTCCGATTTAGCGCATTTGGCTACGCACGGCGCGAAAGAAGTTCAACGTACACACATACACACATACATACGTATGCCCGTACAGAAGAAGTCATTGACTTGTCCAAACACGGCGTCACGCAGCTCGTCGGCAAGGTGGCAATTCAATCACCGGGCGTTTGATTGTCGAGCGAAACATTGAGAGCAGATCGGTCCGTAGAATAGCCACGATCAATTTAGCAGCGGCCATTATTTGAAACGTTAAACGGTCCCAGTGCGGTGTAATCGAGTTCTTGTTAAAAAGGAACACGTTATAGATGTATAAAAACAAAAATTACGCACGCACACACGAGACCGCAGAGATAGGCAGGGATAATTTGAATCAAATACGGTATTTTCATTTTGAACCAAAAGATATTGACGATTCACTTTGGCTACTAGAAAACGATCGATCATGATCGATCGGCGTGCCCGAGGCGTGTTTTGCTGGAAGACACAGGGCCCAAGAATCCAGGCGTGCGGTCCATTCATTTAAAGTGGCACAAACGTTGACGTTTCAACCCTGGGTTTTGGTCACGTAAATCCCTGCTTGTATTCCTATGCCGGCTTAGAGAGGCCTTCATCTAGCACAGGGGTTGGCATCCAAAATAAAAAGAGCAGCAATTTGTGTTTGTAATTCGGTGACAAAAAACCTCAATGCAGTATTTCAAGAGCCGCATGGCACTTGCGTGGTGAATTCGAAACGGTGGTCCTTCATAAATAACGGTCACGAAGCAGGTTGCAATCCCCTGATCTAGCAGTAGATTTATCATGGCTGATGATGATGATGATCGAAACCTGGATCTGATCTCAGTATTTGTGGCTGAGGACTCCGTTCCCTGAGCCCCAACTCATAATCCTACCACAAATAGGATCTCACTTTTAGAGTGATCATTAATCGCTAAAGGCTTGCGGGATTTGCCTCGAGGGCCGGAAGAGTGTTGTACTGTACCGCTGTGTTCCCTGCATTCGCCAAAAAAAAAAACCACGCTGACCAGCGTCGTAAAAAGTATTGTCAAGCAACTCCCCAAAACGCCAATGCGGTGCGGTTGAGGCCCTCACATCCGGCAATGGATTGGCAGAGGTCTTCACATGACAATAGGCAATTACAGGGGGGGTCGATGGATAGTTGCTGGAAGGTGAGAATGAGGGTGGCGGTTAAAGTAAACTAAACAAGATTTTTTTATCTTACTATTTAGCTCTTTTTCATAAGCGACCTGGCCTCAAATGATAGCTCAACGAAGTGGCTTATCACGTGGAAATTCATAGCAGCAGCCAAATACTCTAACGCGCGTGTTTCTAAACGTGGAGGGGAAAAAACGGAGGACCCGGAGAAAAATCCACACGACCACAGGGAGAGAGACACGCAAACTCCAAATATACAGCCATCGTCAGGCTCGGTATCGAACCCACGTCCTTCTGTATACCAGGCGAGGGAGTTAACATCTCGCCGCCGCGGCGATTATGTACGGCAGTTGGCAGCGGTGCCGGCGGCAGTGATGGTGATGGCGGCGTTGTCGCGGCGTCTCCGTGTCCCCGCAGATCTGGCAGTGCGGAGGAACGCTCCTCTTCGTGCCCTGTTCGCGCGTGGGCCACATCTACCGCCTCGAGGGCTGGGCTGGAAACCCTCCGCCCCCCAGCGTGGGCCCAGCCCCCGCGCTACAGGTAGGGGTCGTTAGCGTTGCACGCCTGTCTTTGTGGGGGCCGCTGTGGCGAGATGTTAACTAACCTCACCGAGTCGTGGGTTCAATCCCGAGGCTGACGCCTGCTGCTGTATATTTGGTGTTGGCGTGTCTCTCTACCCTGTGGTCGCGTGGATTTTTCTCCGGATCCTCCGGTTTTTCCATACACATTTCGAATCGATGTGCGTTAACAGTATTTGCCTGCTATCAATTTCCACGTGACGATAAGCCACTTCGTTGAGCTATTATTAGTGGCCAGGTTGCTTCTGATAAAGAGCTGTATAGCTCGGTGAGCTTTACCTGGTAAAATAAAAGATAGTTGAATCAATTTGAATCTACAGTTCAGTAAGTTCTCGTTGAACGCGGTAGTAGATGCGTTCCTGAAAATTCAACAACGCGTTAAGCAAAAACAATTCAGATGTTTCACCACCGTTATTGTTTGTGAGCGGGCATCGGACTCGGGTGCTGAGCAAAGTGCTCTAACCACTACGGCCACCGTTCTCGGACAAGGTGACACACGCACGCGTGCACGCTCATTCATTAATTAAAGTGCATTTTTAAATCTGACTTAGAACAAGCAGTGTGGGAGTGACTGAGCAAAGGGCAATTTGCAAATGACAGGAGCCTCCCAATCCTGCAGATAATGAAGAAAGGAAAAAGTGCAGTGTAGGGCAACCAACAAATTTATAGACGCTAGGGACCAAAAATATGCAATAAAATAGCACTGCGATTTCTGTCGGTAATCTGGTAAAATTAAAGCTGGGGCATCACCGTGTGTATCACTGTGGGTTATGGGGAAAAACTGAAAATAGTCTTGTTCATTGCGACGTTTTGTTCAGCGTTGCAAGTGTTGCGGCTCATTAAAACGCTTAGACGGACAGCGCTGGATTAACGCAGGGGCTTCAAGGGCTCGCTGCCCGAGGGAACAACACATATTGTGGGGCCTCCTCAAATATATTCAGTCATGTCCAGCCCAAATTTGTTAATCCACTGCTGCTGGATGAAGGCCCTCCCAGACCTTCATGACAACACAATAGCGATTGGCCTCACCAGAACCCGAAATTGGCTAAAATGCAATACTCGAGCCAATGTGATGAGTCCTGCAGGTAACGTGGTCATTTAAGCCTTAGCATCCCAATGTGTAATACTATGGGCTTACGTGCGCAAACAAATTAAGTTCGTTTTGACTTCGATGTAGCTTTTCAAGTTCGAATGGCACATTCAAAAACCGCAATTGAAAAAGCTGAGGCGAATAGCAACGCCGTGTTTTGGTATTGTGCATGAGTGGTGGTAGAAGAGTCGAGGAAAGGAACTGAACAGCCAAAGAGGGGGCCCCTCCAAATCTATAACAAATAATATTTTCAACAATACACATTTTATTTTATCAGTTAAGGCCCCACTGAGCTATGTAGCTTTTTGTCAGAAGTGACTTGGCCACAAATGATAGCCCATGTGACTTATCATCGTGTGCAAATTCAAAAGCGCCAAACGCATGCTTCTTAATGCGGAGGGAAAAACCGAGTGGACCCGGAGAAAATCCACGCGACCGCGGGGAGAGAGAGAGAGAACACGCAAACTTCAAATAAACAGCAGGTGTCAGGGTCAGGATCGAACCCATGGCCACCCCCTTAAAAATGAGTCCGTTGCTGTCGTTTTTACAGAACTACGTGCGGGTGGTGGAAGTGTGGTGGGACGACTACCGGGACTACTTCTACGCGAGTCGCCCGGAGACTCAGGCACTGCCCTACGGAGACGTGTCGGCGCTGCACCGATTCCGGCGCGAGCACAACTGCAAGAGCTTCAGCTGGTTCATGGAGAACATCGCCTACGACGTGCTGCAGTTCTACCCACTGCCGCCCAAGAACGTCGACTGGGGAGAGGTGGGTGCCGCCATCCCCAAAGACGATGATTCCCCCGTGTGGCCTGTAACGGACTGGGGAAAGTGCTGTTAGTAGCGAGTAGCACCTATGAAGGCCGGCACGGCACACGAAGAGGGGGTGGGTGGCCAGCACCACGCCCGGCCGCCTTAGTCTCCCCAGTGGCGATGTTTTTACACACCGCACCAGGTACTCATTTGAGGCTGAGTCGACCTAGGGGAGGCCCAGGAGCGGTTTCAGATAATCGTCACCGGTGTTGGTCGTGAGCGGGAATCGAACTCGGGTGGCCGGGTCCGTAGCGCAGAGTGCTAACCGCTACCGCCGCCGCCGCGGCCACCGCACGTAGATGTTTGCGGTTGCGCTGCTGCACGGCTGTCGTTTCGCTCTCTGCGTGAGAGATGCTCCAAGCGCGTGGAGTGGCAACGGATAACACTGGTCAACACACTTTTTCTGGTATAAGGTATTCCAACGGTAATTTTGGGGTGCCGATTCCAAATCTGGCATCAGTTTTTGTCTATCACATCAGGTTTTTGAGATATCAAATATTGAATTTTCAATAAAAACTGCAGAAGAAAAATATTAAATAAATGTGGATATCTACATAAAATTATATTATAAACACACTATCCTAAAAATACAGCACCATATTTTAACACTAAAGCAGTCACTGACTCGCAACAACTTGCAATCATAAGTGACAGAGGAGTTAATTTCGGGTAAAATCAATGAAAATGGGGTATGCTGATAGCAGAGGTGGGACAAAGTCATTGTTATGCAAGTCCAAGTCGAGTCTGAAGTCATCAAATTCATGACTCGAGTCTGACTCGAGTCCAAGTCACATGACTCGAGTCCACACCTCAGAGGTGGGACAAAGTCATTGTTATGCAAGTCCAAGTCGAGTCTGAAGTCATCAAATTCATGACTCGAGTCTGACTCGAGTCCAAGTCACATGACTCGAGTCCACACCTCTGGCTGATAGCATAAAAATGAGATGTGATAGAGCAAATCTGAGATCAGATTTGGAATCAGCACCCTGAAACTAGTCTAAAACAGCTGCAAAAGTCCAGGCCAGAAAAAAAAAATTTAGTTGACCAGTGTTATTTTACACGGGCAGTCGTGCAAGAATTGTTGGGGCTTCATTTCTTTACGCTTTCCAACAAAGGTTGCATGCGTTTATGCGTTTGGCTCCGTCCGCCTTTCTGTCCATAACAGGGGATGCACCATAACTACCGTAAAGATGACCCAATATGAACCAAACCTTCGTATGATGTCACGTTTCCATTTGAGACTTATTTAAAACTGACCAAATTGATCATTGTTTCCCAACACACTTTGGAAACGCAAACCCGACTGTTACAAAATATATTTTAAAAAAAACACATATTTCCCCGAGCAGTTACCTGCATCCATACCGCTGATTAAACACTTACAGAGACGAATGCACCTCGAAAAGCGCGTTGTTTTTGTTATCCCTCGCGTCTCGTTGATCCTCAAGATCCGTGGCAAGAAGAGCAACTTCTGCATCGACAGCATGGGCCACAACAACGGCGGGCTCGTGGAGCTGGGGCCCTGCCACGGCCTCGGTGGCAACCAGGTGACGCCAAACCTCGCCGCTCACTCGGTCGATCCCAGCTCCACGTACAAACCCTCTCGTCGCTCCACCGCAGGCTGACGGGGCTTCAGCACCCGCTTGGGCAGGGTCAGAGGTCGCAACCGGGTACCTGATACCCGTACCCTACCCGATACCCGGCTACCCATACCCGGCCGGGTACGGGTACGGGTAACCGTTTGCGACCCTGGTGCGGCTGGGTACGGGTACGGGTAGGCCGTGAGTCACTGGTGAGTAACCGTTTGTCACTCATTTCGGGTAGGTTACGGGTAGGGAACGGGTATCCGTACCCGGCCGGGTACAGGTACCCATTTGCGACCCTGGTGCGGCCGGGTACGGGTACGGGTAAGGAATGAAAACCCGTTTGCGACCTCTGGGCAGGGTCGAGAGAGGGTTTTTCTGACCGCAGGGCCTCCGCACGACGGGGTCAGCGGGGGTCGGAGAAGGTGGGATTTCGCTGAACTGCCCAGTTTGCTGCACACCGCGTATCCCCGTAGCCACCTACAGCAACCTGTTTGTGCGTGGTGGTCACCCATCATAAGCACCATCCAGGCTCAACCCTGCATAGCTTCAGAGAAGTGATGATCTCAGGTGCTTGGTCACAGGCATAAGACATTATTACTACCACTACCAATACGAATACACGCTAATAATGAATTCCCCAGCCATTCTGGATCCACCAATGGATGAAAACCTCCCCAGCCATATTGGCCATTGGGGTTTTTGACCATACTTCTCCACGCCGGTCAGTGCAGGTTGGGGAGTGGCAGTGGGGGGAGGGGGGTGGGGGGAGAGACAGTACCGTATCTGACATCACTTGCCACCGATGCTAGCTGTGGTCAGGAATCTAACTCGGGTCACCGGGCTTATGGCACTGTGACACGGCTCAATCCCAACTCTAAATTTTCCTACCTTTGCCTGAAGGTGATCGAGATTTCACTTTTTCCTGTCAACTCCCACGGCCTCCACCTATCTCCCTCTCTAATGCCGCTGTGTTGCTCTCTCCCTCTCCCCGTCTCCATCTCTGCCTCCCCTCCCCCCCGTGCCCCCACCGGCGGCTCTCCCCGTGAAGCTGTTTCGCCTCAACGACATGAACCAGCTGATGCAGCACGACCAGTGCCTGACGCAGGGCGGCAAGGAGGGCACCGGCGTCACCATCATGCACTGCGACCGCACCGAGTTCAACGACTGGAGCTTCCGCATGGTGAGACGCGGCGACGGCCCAGCTGCTATCGAGCGCCGGGGGTCCACGGGCCGGATTTGGGGGGGGGGGGGGGTCCCCACGTATGCTACTGGGTGGTGCTTTCCGTCATTTGCGGTCGTCATTTTTGGTTCGGATGTCAGTCCACTGCTGGATGAGGGCCTGCCCTCACGACCTGTGCCGTCAATGAAGGCTGTACGAATGCAAAAAGGGCGCCACGGTGGCTAGGAGATGTTAACTACCTCGCCTGGCACACAGGAGGTCGTGGGTTCGATCCCGACCCTGACGCCTGCTGCTGTATATTTGGAGTTTGCATGTCTCTCCCTCTCATCATCATCACGGTGGCTAGGAGATGTTAACTACCTCGCCTGGTACACAGGAGGTCGTGGGTTCGATCCTGACCCTGACGCCTGCTGTTGTATATTTGGAGTTTGCGTTTAAGATTATTTGTCTGCTTTAAATTCCCACGTGATAAGCCACTCCGTTGAGATATCATTCGTGATGGGCAGGTTGATTTTTAAAAAGAGCCGTATAGCTCAGTGGGCCTTACCTGGTCCAATAAAAAGTTTAAAATAAATTAAATCACGCGGTGTGCTTTCACTAAGTTGTCCCCACCTGAAGGACGCTTGTGTTGCACCCGAAACGTCGTGATTAAAAAAAAAATTACCTACGTGACTTTACCGAAAAAACCAAAGAGTATGAATCCTTGCAGTCACGAAAACTTCATATCTAGAATAAAAAGTTTACAGTTAATTTCAAATTGAAGAACTGATTGCAAAGCTCGTACGAAGAATACACGCGCTCAGCAAATGTGCCCATTTTAAATATTTATAGGTTTTTTTATTGGTAAAGTCACGTAGGTAAAAAAATAAAATTAATAAAAGTAAAATAATATAAAAATCATGACCGTCACAGCGGTTCCACCTGAAGACGGGAAGTTTGTGTTGCCTCCGAAACGTCGTGATTTTTATTTTATTTTACTTTTATTAATTTTTATTTTTTTACCTACGTGACTTTACCGAGAAAAAACCTAAGAATATCAATCCTTGCAGTCACGGAAGCTTCAAATCTAGAACCCATTGTTAAAGTTGCCTTCGTACCGGCTGCATTAGCGGTGAACGAGTTCACTCACCGCATGACTTGTTGTGTCGCACAGGGAGAGGGAAGATTTGTCCACAGCCCCTCCGGGAGGTGCCTCGACCGCTCCGAGACGCTGCAGCAGGTGTTCCTGGCACTCTGCAACCCGACCAGCCTGAACCAGCGCTGGGAAATCAACCACATCAAGTTCTGAGAAGCACTCGTGAGAGACGAACACAAACAAGCCTGCACACAAAAAAAGATAGACAAGCGAGCCTCATGGCCGACCGAGGAGTCCTGGGAAAGTTGTGACGAGGCAAGCGTGCGGATCGCCCGGCTTGCACGACGGTGTAGGTCCGAACCGTCAGGCACTCCGTCACCTCTCCCAGGTGCTGCGATGTCAACGGAGTTCAGAAATTTGAATTCCTGAAAGTGAGCAAACGAGCCTCTTTTTTTTATATATATAAAAGAAAAATACTTTGCCCGATGGAAAATGTAACGGAGGTGTTGCCACACGGACGCACGAACTCTTACTTATGAAGTCGACAATCTCCACGCCTGCGTCAAGACGAAAGGACGTGTTGTGACCGTGCGAGATGGAATTGACCGTAAAATACAATCACCATTGCACATGTACACGTACAGCCCTTCATAGGTCCACTGCTGCATGATGGCCCCCCCATGCCATGTGGGTTATTTGACGATACATGGTACCTACCGACTGCAAGGATGCATTTTATCGAGGATTGTACATGGTGTCCGATCAAGCTCGCCGATTTTGTGCAGTTAACAACTTAAATGCCACACACACCATACCTGAGGAAAACAATGCATGGTGCAGTATTCACTTGAGCAGAAAGATACAAAATCTGGTTTAATTTCAGCTTCATATTCTTGGATCACCAGGCGAAGTCACTTTGAATTAACACAAATATGCAAACTGTTGCGTCATCATTGTACACATTTGGAGAAGACACTAATATATAAAATATAATACCAAAAAATAGGGTTTTTTTATATTCAGTTGCAAATTCGACCGGTGTGAAGATAGTTTTAGAATTATAATTTTAGTAAGATGGACCTTCCAATTCATGAAAACTGCAAACATGTATAAAATCATATCACAAATTGCAAAATACAATATATTATTATCACCTCACAAGATCAGATTTTCAGTAAGGTATTTGTTTTGTGCATTTGTTTTGGAAGTGCCTGCAAAATGTTTCCAGCCTCGCAAAGACAAACGGGATGCGTACAAAGTTCAAACTGGTCACGGTGGCCACACACAGGGTTGCTTAAATCAACTGCAAATCAAGTGCGGGGAGCACAATCTTAGCTGGAACTAAAAAAATCTGCAGTCCAAGTAACTATGCTCACCAAACATGCGTGCAAGCAGTACTTTGAACCAATACTTTTCTTTTTCAAAACGTCAAAAGTTGTCGTTCCCGATAACGCAAAGTTTTTGATAAGCACACGAGCTTGAATTATTTATCACTCTCCAGAAAGGTTAAATGCTAACATGCAACGACGAATATTTCTGTCACATCGTAACGTAGGGCCCAATGCCGAGCACCTTTTCTCATTAGACAATGCAACGTCAACAGCTTCCCACAACTTATTGTGAAGACACTGATAACGGTTCAGAATGAATCGTGAGAACGTGCCAATTTCATGGTACTGTTGTATATGCAAGAACGTGTTGCAATTGTACTTGGGTTTTGTTAAAGATTTCAACATTTCGTAGGACTTAAAAAATGGTAGTGCCAGATGGAATTGTTGGGTTATTAAATTTCCTTAGTCTCCCATCAGTAAAACCCATAGCAATGAGAAGTTTATTTGGTAACATTCGGTTTTCATTCTCCCAACTACATAAATAGAAGTGCAATGCTGAGATGCTAGTGCCTTCTAAAAAAGGCACATTAAGGTCATGTTCCCCTCGAAGTTACAGCTCTCCAGGTTAATGTTGGCATACCAAAGCTTTACACAGCATACCTAAACCCTGTCAATCCTTTTCTGCGTTATGAGAAATAACCATGATTTGCATAAAAGCACACTGAACATTGAGAGTTTGAAACGTCTGTATGTTGCATCATTTGTAAAGTATTTTATCATTAAAAGTAAATTTCCTTGATGCTGTCCAAAGGATTACATTTATGCTGCACCTTAAACACTTATCAACCGTTGCACCCCCCCCCCCCCCCACCAGCAAAGAGGATGGACAATGTTGTAAAAAAAGACCATTTTATTGTTGCTTAAAAGTTACAGAATTTTATTAAGTCCAACAGACAAGATAAATGGACAACTTTCATCAGAATATATGTGAAACAAATTCACCCTACAAGGTTAATATTCAAAGCAGACAAAAACCCCAGGCTAAAAAAATGTATTACAAGCCACAAAGAAACAAAAGCAGACTGTACATAGTGGGAAGGAATTTTTTTTTCTTTTTCCAAGTGGCAATTTCTCAATACAGATTATGCTTTTGGAGTCTCAAACCTAGGTAAAAAAAATCTCAAAAGCAGGTCTCAATCTAACCAAGTCTACACTCTGCCACATACAAATATTTCAGTTTCCTTTCAACCAAGCAGTACTCTTCTTTCAAATGGGCAACACTATCATAATCGGCCAATATCAAAGTTCTAATTTCACACAGCTATCATACATCAACTTGACATTAAGTGTCCCACTCGAAAGTAATGCATTACCAATCCTTAACCAAATTCAAATAAAGTGTTATAAGATACGCTGGCACAAGTCAATGCATATCATTGCTACATTTCAGTTGTCATTCATCTGTAGTTCTTGGTCGAAAAGGTCGTGAGGTTACATCTTAGTTCAATTAAACCAACACCAAATCTATTTGAAGAAATATGGAGCGGGCCTTGAGTTGACTGTACAGACATTGAATTTACACAATTATAAAGGAGGTTCAAGAAGTATTTGTTAATTCAATAAACATCACTGTCCTATCAAACCAAATTGAGTTTCCTATTTTCTTCCAAATATCCAACAGTTTAATGCTCTCAAATGCACAGTAGTGCCCATTAACCAACACCAAAGCCCTTGAAAAACTATTACATCAATTATGTCAAAGCTGGGATTCTGCCACGGGCAAATGTAATAGACTTCACATTTTATTTTTTACGTTGTGGGATCACTGACCCCCCCAAACTGAATAAATTCCCTCCAAACCTCCTTAAAAAAAACTATCAATGTAAGCGCCTGCCAGTGAAGCCTTTATACATCCCTACACCGAGGATGTTTTACACTTTCTGCTGCTGTCAGCCTACTCGTCATCATCCTCATCATCATCATCTTCCTCCTCCTCATCCTCCTCGTCATCATCTTCCTCGGGTGCAGCCTTGGAGGGTGCCGCCTTGCCCTTTCCACGGTACGCCGCCACGTCCTGAGAAACAGAACACTCGCGCTTACAGCACGGAACATGGGCCAAGACATGCACTACAAGCAAGCGTGCAATCGTGCCACGTAAATAAAATAATCGTGGCCCATTTTAAATAAATGCCATGCGACTGATTTGTCCCTCATAACCTTTATTAGCAACATAACTGAGCTCTGAATCATATTTTTTGAGGCTTATGAGAAGCAAATAGCATGCATGCACTGATTAATGCATTTATTTGGGAGATGTGCCTAAAAGATTTGTCAACCTTGAATGTATTTACTTCCATGTAGAAATGCCAACTGTTCAAGCAAATAAAAAAATACAAATTGGTTCCCGTTTCAATACATGAACTATCACCATTTATATTACGGCTGCTTTGCCAACTGGAACACTTTATCTGCCCAACAATAGTGTGCATTTCCAGATACACCGCACATACTGCAGGACTTTACCAATACTCAAAGGCGTAGAATAAACGCAACTGTCGTAATTTGGGACTAAAACTGCATGCAAGTATTTTATGTTTTTTATAAGTATCACACTTGCTATCAATTTCATTAGGTTATTAAATGGCCTTCAGCTCCCCACACATTTCCACCACAACAAACAACTCACGATCGCTTCGTTAGAAACCTCACCTTCTCATACTTCTCCTTCAGCTTGGCAGCCTTCTTCTCATACGGAGATTTAGTCTCGGGCGTGAGTAGTCCCCACATCTCTCCCAGCCGTTTGGCAATCTCACCGATGCCCAGGCCAGGGTGATCTGCCTTCACCTTGGGCCGGTGCTCCGAGCAGAACACGAAAAATGCAGATCTGTGCACAAACACGGCGATAGGGCCACCATGTGTTAGACCAACACCACTCACCTGGCAAACTTGGACCAATCTTTTCCGTCGGCCACATTCGCTTTAAAAGCTATGACGATTTCACAAGCCACTTACAAAACACATACAAGGTTTCTACATAGCCTCAACATAATACGCTTTGACTGCCACGGATTAAATTGCACAGCACAATAGCACTCACTTTGTACGCAATCACATTAGTGTCTTTGTGGGTCGTGTGTGAAATAGCAATTCTCAAGACTTGCTATGAAAAGTAGATGCAACGAAGTACACACAAGGCCCCTTTGTAAATCCACTGTTTAACGAAGGGGGGGCCTCCCTGCAGTGCAAGGTAATTGGGAAAAATAAAACATTTAAAAACCACAGTGACGAGGCCACTTTCTCGGCGGCAAAACACCACAAAACAGAATGCCGCAGGACTTACGGGGGCCTCTTGGGTGCATTAGGGTCCTTTGTCTTCCTCTTGCCCTTAGGCGGAACGTAATTTTTCATCTCCCGGTCATAACGTGCCTTGTCAGCCTTAGCCATTTCCTCAAAACGCGCCTTCTCCTTGGGAGACATCGTCTGCAAGGCACAATAATAGAGATCCATGTTCGTCAACGAACTCCACTTACAGGCGACCAATATCGATAGTTGCCAAACAAGAGTGGGGAATTATGTCAAAAGGGGCATCGCGAGCATCTTTACCTTCCAGCGCTCGGAGCATTTCTTGGAAAACTCGGCAAAGTTTACAGATGCCTCCGGATGTTTCTTCTTGTGCTCCTCGCGACAAGTCTGCACGAAGTATGCATAGGAAGACATCTTCCCACGCGGTTTTCCTGGCTCTCCTTTACCCATTTTGTCACTAGAACACAAAAAATGTCAACAGTCACTATTAATAGACCATTACACACTTTCTCACAACAGAACATTCATGGCAATTAATGCGTTTGACGCGTAAAAATGTCCATGCTGGTTTTATGTGCAACGCAAATGACAACGGAATTGGCAGCGAAACGCAACCAATTGGTAATAAAAGGCGGGATTTTTTTCGGTGCCATTTGCTCGTCACCACATTCTCAACATCTGTCGAGTGGGAGGTGTAAAGGCAGAGCCATGCCTTTCATCTTCTTAAAGGTCTTGTGAATGAATACCCACAATATATACGTTAAGTTGCCAAACAATTAATAGCTGCATTGCTGTTTGAGTGTAGTTTAGTCAAAATAACTAAGCTGTCTCCAGTCCATCCAAAACTATTTTGATGCAATACATAACCCTATTAACAGTTATGTCTGCATTGCTTTCACATTACCCACTCTTTTTGGACTTTTTCAGATACCTCATTACGCAGATGCACATCTATGTAGAATACCTTTAGCCCATTGATTATGCCTTTTAGCTAAACGTGGCCTTTTTTAATTAATCCTATTTTAACACGACAAATCGCTTGGGTGCCATATCACTAATCGGCCACCTTGACATCTCAGAATGTCTTACCCAGGCGGCGTTACATCAGCGCACACATCCAAAATCCGCAATGTTGAATGACACGATACTGCATTACCCGGATAAACCATGCCAAGACCGTCTTCACCAATTAGCACGGCAGTCACAACATCGTGACACGAGATCCCAGGCAACTAGACCAATTTACCACCTTTTTTATAATCAATCTACAGTCGCATTAATACACTGCACACAGCCAGGGAATAACGCCAAAAACTCTAAGGGGCCAATTTTGACAGACATGCACAGTCTGCTTTTGTACTGTACCCTAGAACACGACGTTACCATTATGCGTGCTGATTTTACATTGTCCATGGCTAGCCAATGCACAACACGTACGACTATTTCTGTATTGATAATTACCAAATTATAATTTTGTGGGTTAGGAGTTTGACATTCCCGGAGCGTGACTATGTCCTAGCCATTCAATTAATTACCAGTGGAGAAACAAGCACTGGAGGCAATACTAGTTACGATGTTAATTATCATCTTAAACCAGCAAATTTAAATGACTGATAAAAAATAGATCATCATTCACCAGTGCATATAATAAAGGCGCAAATCGCTCATGCCATCACGTCAAAGAGGACAGGGCATGTATACACACACATTCTTTGCAATCCTACCCAATTAAGGCTACTTGAATGCAGCAATAATTTCGACAGAATTTATAACGGACTTGCAAATTAAAGACAAAATGCAAAAGCGAGATTTCAATGCCTGCGTCTTCATACAACAGGCTATGGATAATCGTCTACTAAAAGCCAGTAAAATTGACAAATCCCTTAATTAATCTTTCAAGGAAACATGAAATGTGGCGTCCTCATTAATTTTATACGCGTGTGCTCCCACAGCAAAACTAAATAAATTATTTCGGGTGAGCTTATACAAAATGGATCATTACCATTCTTTTTTTACAAATGCGAAATGCATTTAATCAAAATGGAAAGATCTATCCAAGCCGTTAACAAGGCGAAGGAAAGGGAAAAAAAATCAATGAATGAATGGATGGAAGGCATCGCCTGCAATGGCGATGGTGGCCCACCACCACTAACAATAGGCAGCAACCACGCGGCCCAGCCAGGGGCGGATTTCAATGTAACAACACCAATCTTTGGTCCTATAAACAACAAAACGGAACCTTAAAAACGGCAACGGGCAAAAATAATATTGTAATAGGTTTTTACCATTTTAACTGGTACAAAAACTGACACCTTTATATAAGAAATCATGTTTGCAATAACCACAACACAAGCAGTCAAAATACAACCAAAAAGAAACTCTGATGATAGTGCATATCATTATCAGAGTTTATTTTTTTTTGCATTTTGACTGCTTGTGTTGTGGTTATTGCAAACATGATCCCTTGTATAAAGGTGTCAGTTTTTGTACCAGTTG